TCTTTCCAGAACACCTGGCTCAGTATCCTCTGCTCCGCAGTACTGGATATCGAATAAATGCAAGCCCGCTACAAAATAAAGATTAATATATATTTTTACTTTAATTTTTCTTTTTATAGTTATAATAGTTTATATATTTGAATACTTTTCAATCATAATCGCAAAAAACATATTTATATATGATATATTGATCATGTGACTATATATCAACATGTATGTAACTATAATTTGAAAATACAATGCATTTTATACCTGAGTCTTTATGCAATGTGCCAATTAAATTGCGTCTAGTTGGACACCACAGCACTTTTGTAACTTGTCTTTGTGGTACTATAGTAACAATTGGTTTTTCAAAATATCGAGTATCCCAGACTGTGATTAGATTGTCAACATGCGAGAGTAGCTGATAATTATTATGGGGATTTACCGACAGATTATATACTGCCTTTGTGGAAGTGACATTCACTACTTTTGCAGAATCTAATAAAATTTAGAAATTAGATCACAATTGAATCATATCAACAAATTGTAGATTGCATATTGATTTTTATCTTTTCTGAACAGACCTCTAAAGTCAACAACTTTTAATTGCTTGTTATTAGCACCAAAAGCCAAACATCTTGAGTCATGTTTAAACCAAGCGGCGGAATGTACATTTTCTGATATGCCTGCTTCAGCTATTGGTCGTTCAGAGCCTTTTGGATAATGCTGCACATCCCAGAGCAGTACAGAGTGCTCTTTACTATGTTTATCCAAGCCCGACATAATTAGGTGAGTATCCACAGGATTCCAAGCAACAACATTGCATGTTCGCATATATTTTGGAACTAGAATTTTAGACACAAAGATTATATAATATTACCCTAAAATAATATGATTAAACTACAATATAGAACAAAGATTTACAAAACTCTCGTCCGACAAGTCCTTGATAATCAAATTCTGGGGGGCTAAGTGTACTGAGAACTATCTTTCCGTTTGCATGGCCACTTGCTACGATATCTGGCTCTGGTTGTGGATATATGTCAACACACTTTGCATAGCTATTAATGGTAACGGATGAGACAAGTTCAGCGATGGAATGCTCCGAAATCTGTAGATCTATGTTGGAAAGAACATGTAAGATTATTTTCAGCAAAAAACAAAGTTATATCATTATAAAGATCTTTTGTCGTAAACTTACAGATGTGATCACTGTCTCGCACGCTATTATCACGCGGTCCAATTTCGTAAAGACTTAACACTGCATCGCTGTCCCACGTGATAAATCTGTCCGAATGAAACGGGCACCACAACACGTCCCATTTTGGCCGGCTCATCTTTTATATCTTCGTCGTTCTCGCGTTTCTATCATAAAACTTTCAATCCTTGCATTATTTCGCCCCGATTCTACGTTTAACAAAACATGTTTACATTCACGGCATGCGATTTTATAATTGTTGCGCGATGCGTGACATGATTATTAACATATCAATGAAACATTTATATTTTTTCTGCTTCCTTTTTTTATAGACATTTATCCCTTTTCAAACACATTCTTTTGACGCTTGTATTTATCATGCTTTCCTTTTTTATTTCGTTTCCTCTTTTTTTAACCAAGTTTTATTTTCGCTATTTCTCTCAATTTCTTTCGCGAATCAAAACAACTATCGTATATTGTATAAGTATACATCTATGTATACTATTAGATGAATATAATGAGATGAGAAAACGAGTATTGAATTATCCTTGGAATAATATTCAATTGTCATTGGTTGTCGGATAGAGAATTTCTAGGATTTCGAAACTTTGTACGTTCAAAGATGGGATCTAGTTCGAATTCACCTTACGATCAATTCCAGCCTTAAATTTGAATTCACTCAATATGGCCGCGGTACTAAAACGCGGTACAACTTCAAAATAAACAAGGATCGCATATTAATATTATATTTATTTTTAATTGTAGGACGAAGAGGTGCGAAAATAATGACAATGAGGTAAGGTCGTTTCAGCGCAATCGCAAGATTCGAACTCGCGATAAATGTTAATAGACTCGCGGAAACATACGCGACATACGTGTGTTTACATTTCGCACGTCCTCCGTAAATATACGATATATGACATGATATACGCCGAGATAAAAGGCGTATGTCAGTTATCACGATCGTTCTTCGATAAAGAATCATTCGTTTAATCGTCTGAGCGAACAAATTCAGTTTTCGAATTTGTTCGATTTTACGTAATCAGAATTCAAACTTCATGACGATTTTTTTTTCACGAGAAGATAACGACTGCAGTTATCTCCTTTGTAACTCCCAAGTGTGCTCCCAAGGCACTCTAAGCTATTATCGCTAATCGTCATATTCACGCGATTGATAAAGAAAAACGTGTACGGTGTAAAGAAGAAGAAGACGACGACGACGACGACGACTACGAAGGTGGGGAAAGGACGGAGCGGAGAACAGTAAAAAGTTTATAGGTAGAGGTGGGTGCACACATATTTAAGGCTGCCATGCTTACGCCCCACCGTATTCTCCAGCCGTGCACACATTTCATAAAGACTGTACGCTCGTTACAGTCGGCCAGTTGCGGTGTCACATCATCGTCGCAATTGTTGCTCGCTCGGGAATACAATCGCCGTCACCTGCTGCAAAATCCTTTGTCCGTAGAATCGCTTGTGAAAACTGGTGCATCGTTCACGACAATGGCAAAAATAAAGGTAAGTGTTGCCACGGTCTTGCTTGAAAGTGACATGTCATCCGAAGTAGGGGAGGGGGAAGGGAAGATTCAATTAAAATTGCGATCATCTCTTTTTAATGCAGGAGAAAGTGGACTTTATACTTGTCGATATTACTCAATTTTATTATTAATCTTTGAACTCAATAAAATTATATAAATTTTCTTATCGATAATAGGATATTCCTTGATATATATTTTATTTGGCGATAAACATTTAAACGAATCTCTCTAGATGTATTTTACATAAATAATATAGTATCTTGAGATATATAGTTATTTTTATAATTGAATGTTTTTAATTTAATATTTATGCAAAATAAAATTGGTATATAAAAATTGTTTTTCAAAAAATGCAACGCTTTTTTATTATATAACTTTCAGGCAGGCCCGGTCGTCGACATTCTTGGAGATGAAATGACACGCATCATATGGGATTCGATAAAGGAGAAACTCATTCTGCCCTACTTAGACATTGAGCTACATACATATGACTTGGGTATCGAAAATCGCGATGCCACAGACGACAATGTGACGGTGAAATGCGCAGAGGCAATTAAACGTTATAACGTCGGCATCAAGTGCGCAACCATTACGCCCGATGAAAAACGCGTAGAGGAGTTCAAGCTGAAACAAATGTGGAAGAGTCCTAATGGCACCATTAGAAACATCCTGGGCGGCACGGTGTTTCGCGAAGCGATCATCTGCAAGAATATACCACGTCTGGTGGTATGTTGGAAGGAACCGATCATCATCGGCAGACACGCGCACGCCGATCAATACAAGGCAACGGATTTCGTGGTGCCAGGCCCGGGCAAGCTGGAAATTACATGGACCGGCGACTCTGGCGAAAAGATACAATACACCGTTCACGATTTTAAGGGTCCCGGTATCGCCCAGGCTCAATATAACACCGATGAGAGCATACGCGCGTTTGCCCATAGCTCATTCCAGTATGCGCTGTCGCGAAATTATCCGCTCTATCTATCTACGAAGAATACGATTCTCAAAAAGTACGACGGTCGCTTCAAGGACATATTCCAGGAGATTTACGACGGAGAATACAAGCAGCAATTCGAGGCGAAGAAGCTGTGGTATGAGCATCGGCTGATCGACGATATGGTGGCTTATGCTATGAAATCCGAAGGTGGTTTCGTATGGTCGTGCAAAAATTACGACGGGGATGTGCAATCGGACTCGGTGGCACAAGGCTATGGTTCTTTAGGTATGATGACCTCGGTTCTCTTATGTCCGGACGGTCGCACGATCGAGGCAGAGGCCGCTCATGGCACCGTCACCCGCCATTACCGTCAGTACCAGCAGGCCAAAGAGACATCCACGAATCCGATTGCTTCCATCTTTGCGTGGACCCGCGGACTGCTGCATCGTGCCAAGCTCGATAACAACGCGCGTTTGCGACACTTTGCTGAAACACTGGAGAAAGTTTGCGTAGATACCATCGAGTCTGGTTATTTCACCAAGGATCTCGCCATATGCATCAAGGGTATGGATAATGTCACCAGGGCTGATTATCTGGAGACTTTCGAGTTTATGAACAAGCTCGCCGAGAATCTAAAGAAGCAGCTTAACGCGTGACTCGTTATTCACGACGAAAAATACACGAGCCTACAAGCCAAGTATTAAGATGTTGCACGCATTACAAAAGAAACAAAGTAATCTTTTTCTTATGGGAAATGGTTATGGGAAATAAAAAGCTTTACAATAAATACGTAATATATTTATATAATTACATTATACATATATAAAGATTTTGTTGTTGTCGTAGTCAAATCGGTTTCGCGCTACGCATTATATTTGTGTTTGATTTATCTTATTGTTAGAAATGTTAATCAGATCATTGTTTCTTTCGTAAAACGCGCGAACAAATCGATCATTTATATTTTACTCGTGTTTGCATGTTTTATATTGATTTTTATGCAATATATATCAAAGGCGCAAACACGCGCAAGATAACATTTGCCAATGATTGAATTAATTTTTCAGTTTGACGAAATGAAGACGATAAACTATCCATTTCCGCTATTATTAAATCGAGATTAACTATTAACGTATACAGTTATACTCGAATGTAAATTGTGTTGCCAATGTCATGGTAACATTTTAAAAAATTTATATATTCTTTTAATACCAGAGTTGATCACATATAAAATATATATAATATATATAATTGTATACATGTTTTAATAAATTTTTTCTCTTATTATAAAAGGTTTTACACGCATTAATGTAGATAATGCAATTCACTCATTTGATATTAAAAGAGTTATAATTAATAAGAGTAATAATTTTTAAATTTGAAATTTTGAATTTTGAGGAAATTAAAAAGGTTTTTCTCATCTAAGAAAAAAATTTTTTTAATTTTTGGTATGTATCTTTTATGTAATATTAAGCAATCAAATTGCGTTCCCAAAATATATTATATGTATGTTTTTGTATGAAGAATTTAGCATTATTTCAGTAATTATCTGTAAAAAATAGCATCACGCGATGTATCACGTTACAAATAACAACTTTGTTATCAAAAAGAGAAACTTGGTATCAGTTAACTATCACTAAACTTAATTTCCCGTATAATGAAGGAAAATATTAAAAACGATTTACAGTTCTTCGACAGTTTAAATAATTAATGCAATTAATTATATATATTGAAAAATTTACATGGATTCGAGTTTTCAATAAGACAGACGATAATTAAAATTACGATTTTTTATTTGTATAGATTGATAATATATATATATATAACAAATTAAATATGTCAAAGTAAAGAAATCTCAAAGTGGATTCTAATTATTAAGACAATACAATTTTTCCAACAATTAGAAAATAATTAGAATTCTTGGTTTTTTTTTTTTAGAAGAAACAAATATAATGTTCAATGTATCAAACATCGTTTCAGAGAAATATAAATATAAATATGTATTTCAACATGATTTCAGTCTTTAACGTGAAATATATCCATCGAAATATAGAGGGTGACATTGATTATACTATAATGAAGACTCGTTCTCTTTGGTTCGGAAACAGCGAATTCATCGACCTTTCGAAACCTTTTATACATTATTCATACGTTATTTATGCAACTCTAAACTTTATTCTTTTTGTTTACATAATCGAGTATATTCACTCATGTTGCATATATCAACGAACGGTAAATGAATGTCATATGAAATATATATATATGCCCGACGTCATAAGCAGACTGCATTACCGATATATAAACATGTAATTTTCCATGGTTTTATCAACAGAGAGCAGAGTAGAAGCAAAACATAGACTGTGTAAATATAGAAAAAAAGATCTGCGATCTATAGAATCTACCTAAATTTAAATATTTCTACCGATCGTATAAATCCAAAAAATATTCATTCCAATAGATCGCATCTATTTAATAATGATAATTCGTCAATTTTGTGTAAGTATAGCTAGTTTCTCGATCGTCATCACTCGTTCCATTAACCTGTATATACCTATAATCTACACTTTGCTCGATCTTTCTTTAAGAAAAGATGTCGAACTCGATTAGCATTCTATGCGCAAGAGATCTCGCTCCCTTTTACTTTAAGAAAAAAAAAAAAAAAAAAAATAGAATGAGATTATACTAATTTATTTTACTCCGTAAAACGAAAAGTTATATCTAATTTACTGATACAAAATATATAAGAAACGCATGATGGAATTGCAATGAATAATTATACGAGGAAAGATTGAACTGGCCGTGAATTAATTCAACTAATCTTTTCCTCGTTTTTTTTTTGCACTATGTATACGCGTGCATATCTGGTTTTGTGACACCTCGTGGCCTGTCCTCGACAACGGCGTGCAACGCACACGCACACGTGCGTTACTTTTACATCAAGAAGCACGCGTTTGCGTAATCGCCCTACTATTTTACATCAATATTGTTATCGTGGTTGTAGCGTAACACGCTTCGCTCGAGAAGATTGCTCCTTGCTACGTGCATTCGCGTATAATATGGAAAAAAAAATTGAGATACAAGTATATAGATTTATAGATATTGAATCTCTATATATAAAATTTCTTTAAAATAGAAGACACACATACAAAACATAAATGTATCTTTTAAGGATGGTAATGCACACCATCAGATATACTCGATTATTATAGTTTTCTACAATTAATATATATTGTAACAATAATATAAGTTTTATGTTTTTCTTCCCACAGAAAAAAAAATAAGAGAGTTATCTATGAAATAATTATACAGAAAAATATATCTTTCCTGATCGGCTGTGTCATTCATCCTTATTTCTATCGCACGTTGGACGAAAATTGAAAACTCCTGCGACAAATGATGACGTTCCCCGACATATTTTTGTTGGAAAAAAACCGACTCCGAATTGAAATCGAAAATCTCCTTGCTTCGGATTACAACAAATCGGAAATCATCGAGATTAACATGAAGCTGAAATACAACGGTGACGATCGTGGAGATGTCTTGTACGTCGACGCCGTTTCGAGTGTATCTTATTTATAAAGAAGATAAACAAAGAATGCGAGCGATGCGGTATGGGATTGAAAAAATGATATGATATCTCTTGGAGAACAAAAATATAGTATTTTTTCAGAATAAAAATTGGATGTAGGACAAAAGTGGTATCTCCTTGAGATAACGACGGAATAAAGCAAAAGATCTTTCTCAACGGGAACTAGACCTAATACAGGACATAATAGAGGATCATGTTATGTTGGATAACGGCTGAAAAAAGAAAAAACAAAAGCGCACTCATTGTCAGGTATCATTCCAAAGTTACAAGTAAGATCTGTTACATAATTAAAGGTCATTAGTAGTGACATCATCATCATCATCATCATCGTCATCATCATCATCATTTTCTAGCATCCGCTCTTTCGGACAGCCGCTCTTC